ATCATATTATTATTAATAGTCGTTGGGAACTGCTGCCAGGGGATTGCTCAAGGCCCTCAGGTAATTACTGTCATTAGCTTTCTGAGAGCAATCTGACACCACATAAAGTTAGCGGGGTTTTGTGTCGATGGGCGACAATAACACAGAGAATATTAGCTCATTTTGTCTGGGCCACAGAAGGGGAAGAAATCCTACGATTTAGCTTCGGAACAGAACAAGCTCAACAAGTTCTGCTCGTTTGGATACCCAGTAATCATCCCACCAAGCCATCACTGCCATCTCTCATGGAATCCTGGAGCTCACCGGATAGAGCACTCGCCTCGCAAGCGAGAGGACCTGGGTTCAATTCCCGGGCGGGTCAGGGCGAAACATTGGGCAAGTTCCCTTACTCCTCACACACACATCTGTTTACTAGCAGTCAGTAGGAACCTGGTTGTTAGTTGATTGGCAGATCGCTTTTCCGGGGGTAATAATCCCTTCAAAAAATAATAATAATGCTTTGGTCACTCAATTCACGACTGTCTGTGGGACGCTGCTGTGCGCAATTGGCTGCCGCGTTTCGCCCATGATATATACAGTCAATTTGCTTTACAGTATATTCTGTGAAGCGCTTTGAGATGTCTCGAAGATGTGATAGGGCTCTGTATTAAATGCAAGGATTATTATGTCTCTCCCTCCATCCCACACCCTCTGGGTTGGACCTGTGCAACATTTTATTTATTTATTCACAGCACTGAATCCAATCACTCCATTCTTTTGCAGGAGGGAAAAGCAGCCAATCTTCTGTAGTCATTCCTAATAATAATCCTTGCATTTAAAATAGCACCTCATCAAGTCTCCTAGAAGTCTCAAAGCGCTTCACAGGATACACTGTAAAGCGAATTGACTGTATATTTTGTGGGACTGCGCACAGCAGCGTCCCCACAAACAGTTGTGGATTGAGCGACCAATTTATTGTTGTTTTTGGAAGGGATTATTACCCCCAGGAAAGTAATCCACCAATCGACTAACAACCAGGTTCTGACTTACTGCCAAGTAAACAGAAGTGTGTGTGTGTGTGTTTTTGGAGTAAGGAAACTTGCCCAATGTTTCGCCCTGACCCGCCCGGGAATCGAACCCACGTCCTCTCGCATGCAAGGAGAGGGCTCTAACCCCTGAGCTACAGGACTAATCATTCAGAGCTCAGATTCTTGACAACGGGAACCAGTTAGGATCTTGCAACACTGGGCAGGCGGTGTGGACTTGAGAGCTGAAGTGTGCACTGGAGAGGAGACAACACCCAGTGAGCTCAGACAAGCAGCTGCTCATTACCTTATGTTGCAACACACAAGTCAGTCGTCAGTTGGTTGATGCAGCTTTACTGTAAGTATGGTTGCCACACAGAAACTTTCAGCACAGAAGGAGGCACAGGTCGCAAGCTGCCCCATCCCCACCACCGTCACCTGGGTTTCCAAGTCAGTTGATACAAGAAGTTGCCCTGACCACGAGAGACTAAGCCAGACAGAGAGCGAGGGAGCTGCAAGAACGGACATCAGTACAGAAGCAATACAAAACGATTCGTGTAGTGCCTTTCATAGTAACAGGAGGAGGCCATTCAGCCCCTCGAGCCTGTTCCGCCATTCTACAAGATCACGGCTGATCAAGTTCAATTGCCCACCATTGCCCTGAATCCCTTAATACCCTGACCTAACAAACATCTATCCATCTTTCACGTCAGGAGGATGTCCTAAGGCGCTGGACAGTCAGGGATCCGGACAGGAGCTGGGGGTTGGGATCAGGAGGGTGGGGAGGGTGGTGGTAGAAAGGTGACAGAAGGCGCGATCAAAAGATGAGGGTCTTGAGACGGATCTTGAAGGAGGCGAGGGAGGAGGCGAGGCGGAAGGACTGTGGGATGAACTTCCAGAGGGTGGGGGCGGAGAGGCTGAATGTCTGACAGTCGATGGTGGGGTCAGCCGGGCGGGGGGACGTGGAGCAGGCCGGAGCCCACTGAGGGGAGGGAGCGGACAGGTTAATATGGTTGGCCGGTTGCTATCAGTGATAACTTGCCTGAGCCTTGAGCATTGCTTCCTCACCCACTCAATTGACTTCCTCACAGTCGATGACTTCGCCCATCAGTTTCCCTAGTGACAGCGTTGGTTGGTACTATTGACCTAAATAAATGTGGTCACTCACTCCACGACTGTTCGTGGGACAGTTGCTGCGCACAATTGGCTGCCGCATTCAACCCGCAAAATACACAGTCACTACACATATTCCGTGAAGCGCTTTGAGACGTCCCGAAGACGTGATAAGGCGCTGTATCAAATGCAATGATTATTTCTAGGAGTAGTACTGTTAGTATTTGCGCCCTGATGCTCTCTCACACGGCACTGTGCTCTGTGCAAAGCCTTAAACACACAAATTGTCCAGCGTTTGGTGAACAGGGATTATTGGAGCCTGGGCTGGAATGCGGGGAATCTGTGATTTGCCTCGTTAGTGGCCCCAGGTCAGTGTGATCAAGAGAATGAGCTTTGTGTCTGTGTCTCTCTCTCTGTCTCTCTCTCTCCAGCTGGTCGCTGCTGTTTGTCACACCAATGTCCCGTTTTGTTTCTCTCTGGCAATTCTCTTTTTGTTCGGTTTGGTGAAACTTCCTCTTTAAATTGCACAAAAGTTAAACAATCACTTGGGGAATCGTACAAAACAAATACCCCCTTTCCGCTTCCCCCGCCCCCCCCTCACTCCCACACAGTACCCTCGCCAAGCTGTTATCAAAGAAATAATAATAATAATAATAATAATTCCAACCCAAGCTCCAATAATCCCTGTTCACCATTTGATCTAGAGCTTTATCACGTCTTCGAGATGTCTCAAAGCGCTTCCCAGGATATACTATAAAGTTTTGCCCGTAAAATACACAGCATATCCCATAATGCGCTTTCAGATGTCTCGAAGACGTGATGAGGTGCAGTATCAAATGCAAGGATTATTATTAGTATTATTATATTATTAATTATTATATTAATAATTATTATATTAGTAGTATCATTATTACATTATTAACAGCAGCCACGTTTCCGTTTACAAGGCCACTGAAACTCCACAACTCTATGCCTCAATCTTTCTGCCTCGTCCACTCCTTGCCAGTCTGCAGATCGCAGCTGAAGACCTTCCTCTTCGACCGTGCCTACGGTCACCTCCCTCCCCCACCCCTGGCCGGCTTCGGGCTCTGCCACTGTTAATCACTCCGAGACGCTATTCGGCGTGAAGGGCGCTGGGCAAACCCAAGTCGTTGATGCTGAATTTTGGGCAAATCTTACGCAGACGCACACTGCAGCGAGAGATCAACGCTTGTTGAAAACCCATGAGGGGTCGGGGTGGGTGAAATGATTCAGTGTCTGTGGTCAGTTGAGCGCAGTGGGGTGGAGTGGCAGGAGGGAGGGTGTAAGAGCAGGAGCAAAAATAGAAATCCTTTTTTTATTTGCCAGACGCAAATGGAGTGACATGACACACCAGCCAGTTTAGTATTCCCAAGGCGTCGTGTTTGGTTTGACGACTCATTGTTTTTTTTTGCGAACTTTTTTTCCTTTTTTTCTTTTTTTGAGCGTCAGACTATCACCGGTTTCACAACAACAACAACAAGACACCCCCCCCCCCGCCCACAGGATAGCGGAGCACGATGTTAACCTGGGTGGAGTGAGTGGGTGGAGATCGAAAGCATGGTCGAAGAGGAAGTTTTAGTGGGTTAAAGCTCTGTGTCAGATTAAAAAAAAAATTCCTTGCATTGTATACAGTGGCTTTCACGTTTACTGTAAAGAGTGTAATAACTGTGTGTTTATAGGTGAACACAGCAGTCCATAATAACCCTTGCATTTGATATAGGGCATTGCCACGCCATTAAGACGTCTCAAAGCGCTTCAAAAGATATATTGCAATATATAACAATAATAATCCTTGCATTTAATATAACGCCTTATTGCGTCTTCAAGACATCTCAAAGCGCTTCACAGGATACATTGTGAATTGGATTGACTGTGTATTTTGTGGACAAAACGGGGCAGCCAATTGCGCACAGCAGCGTCCCCACAAACAGCCGTAGATTGAGTGACCATTTTTATTTGGGGGAGCCCATAGCATGTTCACGAGGTGAGCGTGGTGTGGGCTGAGTCAGGCTGGCACACAGTGATTATACGCAGACAGACAGCGGTGAGTGAAGGACACAGCTCCCTTGCTGATCTTTGCAACGGTGATGTATTTGATGAGAAGTAAGAGCGCTCTTTCTTGCAAGTCATTTCGCCCGCAAACCATAGTCGTATTGGAATATTAACTCTCACGTTTGATGTGGTGTAAAGAGATCCCAAACTCTTTTCAGTGAAGCAGTGAAGCAATGTCAATATATCTTACCTTTGACACAGCAACTTATCACGCCTTCGAGACGTCTCAAAGCACATCACTGAAATCTACCGATGGGTGAATTGACCGTATAATTTGTGGGCGAAACCGCAGCAGCCAATTGCTCACAGCAGCGTCCACACAAACAGTCGTGGAGTGAGTGACCAAATTATTTGTATTTATTTTGAAGGGCTCATTACCCCCCGGAAAAGCGATCTGCCAACCAACTGACAACCGGGTTACTGCTACTGACTGCTGGCAAACAGTGTGTGTGTGTGTGTGGAGTAAGGAAACTTGCCCTTTCCGCCCGGGGATCGAACCCGGGTCCTCTCGCTTGTGAGTTGAGGGCTCTAACCACTGAGCTACAGGATTTCCACACATCCACACTTGTGTTTGAAACAAATCAACACTTCAAAGTGTTTAGAAAACATTTGAAATGTGGACAGCAAAACAAAATAATAGGGGGGAAACAAAGTAAGTCTCTCTCACACTCACTCACTCACTCCCTCACCGGGTCTCTGCTTAGAAAGGTGCTCAAAAGTTTGGGAAGGAAGGAGTGAGAAAAGGGAGGAGAGGGAGAAGGGGAGAGAGAAAGGAAAATAGATCCCCTTTCCCCCCCTTTTTGTACTTACCGACTCCGTATTTTTCCTTCTTAGTGGGAATCCAGCGAGACATCTGAGTTCTTGCCTTGTCTCGCTCTGTCGCTCTCTCCTTCCTGGGCGTGTGAAAGTTTCACCAGAGATTGCATTCCCTCTCTACCGCGGTCACTTGTTCCTTCCTTATTGTCTTTTTCCTTATTTGCCAAGTCAGTGAGTGAGTGTGAGAGACAGAGAGAGAGCGAGAGAGAGGGAGTGTGTTTGTGTATATGTAGTAGCTCACACACACACACACACACACAGACACTGACTTTCACTTTTCCATCATAGCTGTGATTTCGGAAGCTTCGCACAAGAAAGCAACAGGGTTAGGAATGGAGAGAGAGAGAGAGAGAGAGAGAGGGGGAGGGAAGGAGAGAGAGAGAGAGAGAGAGAGAGAGAGTGTAAATATCTCCCTATCTATCCCCTGAGGCTGTGCTGTATTCAGTTCCCATTGACAACTCGCTGTCAACTTACACTGCTCCCTCCCTCGCTCCCTGTTATGTAATCGATTGCAAACATTGCAAAATAACCTTGTTACCAGCTCATTCCTTTTATTTTTTATTTTCTCCTCTTCAACCGCGTATTTGGACACCCCCACCCACCCCACCCCGAGTTCGTGTCCATATCCCTGACCGTCCAGCACCTTGGGATGTCCTCCTGATGTGAAAGGCGCTGTGTAAATGTAATATTGTATTTTATTTTAGCTTTCCCGGGGGTAATAATCCCTCCGTGAGTTAATGCGGTCACTGAAACCACAACTGTTTGTAGGGACATCGCTGTGCGCAATTGGCTCACAAATATACAGTTGTACAAAATTTACAGTGTATCCTGTGAAGCGCTTTGAGGCGTCTCAACTATGTGACAAGGTTCTGTATCAAATGTAATGGTTATTATTATTATTATTATTGTTATTATTATCTTGTATAACAATCTCAGGGCAAAGCCAGAGAGTGAAATTTGTTTTTTTGAAAGATCGTCCATTTCCCTCTCCTCCCTCCCTCCCTCCCTCCATTTGTATTTATAATAATATTTATAATTCATAATAATAATGGTAACAATCCTTGCATTTGATGTAGCGCCTTATTGCGTTTTCGAGACGTCTCAAAGCTCTTCAAATTATTCAATATGAAATTGGTGATAACCCTAAACGCTAAACCCTAAACCCTAACCCAAGTGTGGGGAGAAATCTTCCCTCGTGTGCTCCGTTGTGTCAGGGGCCCTCTACAATAACAACAAATGAGACTTGTTTAGCGAGCGCCTTCCCTTCATGTTGGAAAGACGTCCCAGGGCGCTGGACAGTCAGGGGTTTTTGGACCCGAGCTGGGAGTTGGGGTTCAGGAGGGGTGGTGGGCCGGGGGTGGGAGGGTAGTCGAAGGTACGGCCGAAGAGGTGGGGTACTGTGCAATGGGAGTGGTGCGGTGACGGAGCTGAGCTGTGGAGGCTGATAGAAATCTCTGTGACAACATAGGGGGAATTTGCCATTGTCTTCCCTATTGACTGTCAGTGTTCAGCAATGGCGTTGACTGTTGACGCTGGAGATTCGTTGCCACGAATTTTGACCCATAAATTCCACACGGTCCCAGCCTTACGCACAATAAATAAACGCGTGAAGGCCCCCCATGATGGTGTCTTGAGTAAATACGCACTGTGTTTCTGACAAGAAAACAATAATAATAATAAATAATAATAAATAATAATAATAAATAGTAATAAATAATAATAATAATAAATAATAATAATAAATAATAATAAATAATAATAATCCTTGCGTTTGATATAGTGCCTTATTGCCCGATTGGCGGGTGGCTTTTCCGGGTGGGGGCGTAATAATCCCTTCAAAAATAAATAATAATAATAATTCAACCCACGGCTGTTTGTGGGGATCGCTGCTGTGCACAATTGGCTGCCGCATTTGGCCGACAGAATATACAGTCACTACACTTTCCAGTGAAGCGCTTTGAGGCGTCTCGAAGACGTGATGAAGTACTGTATAAAATGCGACAGCTGTCAATCATCCTCAACCCCTCCCCCCAACCCCCTCCCCCCAACCCCCTCCCCCCTAACCCCCTCCCCCCAACCCCTTGCCCCCAACCCCCTCTCCCCCAACCCCCACCCCCTCCCCCAACCCCTCCCCCAACCCCTTCCCCCCAACCCCATCCCCAACCCCCTCCCCCCAACCCCTCCCCCCCAACCCCATCCCCCACCCCCCCAACCCCATCCCAACCCCTTCTCCCCAACCCCCTCCCCAACCCCTTCCCCCACCCAAACCCCCTCCCCCAACCCCTTCCCCCACCCAAACCCCCTCCCCCCAGCTTCGGGGCAGGAGTTAAGCGAGGGCTTCTGATTGGCTTGTCGACTGGAGACTGCTGATTGGCTCGGCGTCTGGAGTGGACGCCGCTGATTGGTTTAGGAACTGAAGGTCGCTGATTGGCTTAAGGGCTGGAGGCCGATGATTGGCTTAGGGGCTGGAGGCCGCTGATTGGCTTAGGGGCTGGAGGCCGCTGATTGGTCCGCGGAGCTGCCGTTCAGGCTGACGTCAGCCCAGGTTGTCAGGGGAGACGGGACAACATGGCGGTGGATGTCAGTCGGGCGCTGCGCGGCGTCTCTGTCAATATCAAAGCTGCGGTGGCCCGGAGGGAGGGGGTGAGTGTGAGAGAGAGAGAGGAGTGTGTGTATGTGTGGGGTGTGTGGGGGGTGTGGGGGTGTGTGGTGGGGGGTGTGTGTATGTGGGTGTGTGTGTGTGTGGGGGCTGTGTGTGGGGGGGGGTGTGTGGGGGTTGTGTGTGGGGGCTGTGTGGGTGGGGGGGTTGTGTGTGGGTGTGTGTGTGGGGGGTGTGTGTGGGGGGTGTATGTGGGGGTGTGTGGTGGGGGGTGTATGTGGGGTGTGTGGTGGGGGTGTGTGTGGGGGGTGTATGTGGGGGTGGGTGTGTGGGGGGTGTATGTGGGGTGTGTGTGTGGGGGGTGTGTGTGTGGGGGGTGTGTGTGGGGGGTGTGTGTGGGGGTGTGTGTGGGGGGGTGTGTGTGGGGGGGTGTGTGTGGGGGGGGTGTGTGGGGGGGGTGTGTGTGGGGGGGTGTGTGTGGGGGTGTGTGTGTGTGGGGTGGCTGGGGGTGTGTGTGTGGGGGGTGTATGTGGGGTGTGTGTGGGGGGTGTGTGTGGGGGTGTGGGGGTGTGGGGTGGCTGGGGGTGTGTGTGGGGGGGGTGTGTGTGGGGGTGTGTGGGTGTGTGTGGGGGTGTGTGTGGGGGGGGTGTATGTGGGGGGGTGTGTGTGGGGGTGTGTGTGTGGGGGAGGTGTGTGTGGGGGGTGTGTGTCCTCATCATGACTTCGTGATGTCTCAAAGCGCTTCACAGAAAACGCTGTAAAATGTAGTGACTGGGTGTTTTGTGGGCGAAACGCGGCAGCCAATGGCGCCCCCAGCGACGTCCCCACAAACAGCCGCGGGCGGGTACGTGGGCTGTCGTCATCGTGAGGAGGCGCTTCACCTCTCTTGGTCTCCGTTGTGTTTCCTTTCGCAGAGCCTCCCGGCTCTGACCCCGCGGCTGGTGGCTGTGAGCAAGACCAAACCCCCGGCCATGGTGATGGAGGCTTATTGCCATGGTCAGCGGCACTTTGGGGAAAACTACGTGAGTATCCTGTGGTTCGGTGCCTTAAACGGCCGAATTTGTACCCGCGGTCAAAGTGCTCCAAGACCACGTAAAGGGCGCATGCAAGTTGTTGTACAGTTCTGTGGTGTGTGTGTGTTTGTTTGTGTGTGTGGGTGTGTGGGTGCGTGTAGGTTTGTGTTATTATGTGGGTGGGTGTGTGTGTGTGGGGGTGGGTGTGGGTGGGTGGGTGAGGGAGTTGAGGCCACTTTGTGTGTTAGTTGAACTCTGTCGCTCACACACTTTATGTCTTGCGGGCGAAACGTGGCCACCAAATGTACTTTGTTACTCCATCGCAGCACCGAGGGAGCAATGCGTTGTTGGGATGTCAAATTCTCATCACATTATAAGGCGGTGTTTTAACAAAGAGCTGCGGAATTCTCCTGGTGTTCTGGCTAACGTTCTTCCCTCATTAGTAAATGTCAAGCGCTTTGGGACGTCCTTCTGACGTGAAAAGTGCGACGTAAGTGTAAATTCTGTATGACTAAATGATTGAGATGTTATTTGAGTTGCGGGAGCGGAGGTGTGGGGGAGATGTGGAGAGAGGGCACAGCTTAAACATGCTTATGCCCACAGAGATTCACTAAACTCCAAAGTAACTTAGGCACGTTTTGATAATATTGACAATCGTGATCCTCGCAGTTGATGTGGAAGTCACAAGGTCTCAAAATACTTCACTCTATGTCGAGCGAAGAGTACGAGTGTATCTGTGGGTCTTGTACCTGATTTTTGACTGCTTATTGGTGTTTTCTGTGCCCTCAGGTACAAGAGCTGGTGACGAAGGCATCCAACACTCAGGTAGTGTAAGAGATTTGACTATCACTGCCTCGAGGCTCGCACTGGGTGGGGGAGGGAGAGGGAGTTCACAGAAAGCAAGCAGTAGAGTGGAAGTTCGTTCTTGTTGTGTGCTTGGCTTTGATCATTCTTCTCTAAGTGCCAGTTGTCTGAATTTGGCTGCAGAGTACATGATGATTGAGTGTCACCCATTCTTGTATTGTGCTTTCACGTCGAGAGGACGTCCCAAGGCACTGGACAGTCAGGGATTTACAAGCGCACAGTCATTGCTCTGATCGTGCTCTGACCTCTCCCTCATTCGCTGTGGTTGCAGATTCTCTCCGATTGCCCAGAGATCAAGTGGCATTTCGTCGGCCACCTGCAGAAGAGCAACGTGAGCAAACTGATGGGTAACGTCTCGTTCCTTCCTATCAGCGTCCCGTAGCTCAGTGGTTAGAGCACTCGGCTTGCAAGAGAGAACCCGGGTTTGACTCCCAGGTGGGGAAAAACGTTGGGCAGGTTTCCTTACTCCACACACACGCCTCTGTTTACCTAGCAGTAAGTAGGAATCCGGTTGTTAGTCAATTGGTGGATTGCTTTTCCGGTGGGGGTAATAATCCCTTCACATAAAAATTGGTCACTTCAATCCACAATCTGTGGGAGGCTAGAGGAAGCAGTGCAGAGGGGAGATGTAGTGTTATCAGGTTGCCCGACCTGGTAAACAATTCAGAGAGGATTTGACTGAGAGAAGAGAGAGAGCAGGAAGGGAAGGAGATAAATGCATGTGCTCTCTCTCCCTCTCTCTTGCATCTCCCTCTGTTGTCCTGCGTTGCTTTAAATGTTGTTGTTCCCTCTCCCCCCCTCCACACAGGCACCCCAAACCTATTCATGATCGAGACGATCGACTCCATCAAATTGGCTGACAAGGTGAACCTTACCTGGCAGAAGAAAAAGGCTTCCGAGAGGTTGAAGGTCATGGTTCAAGTGAACACAAGTGGGGAAGAGAGTGAGTGTAACTGACCTGCCCAATTGTTGGGTTTACTGCGCTGGGGAAGGGACTTGAGCTCGGAGAGTGGTTTCGTAAGAACAACAACTTACGTTTACACAGCGCCCCCTCATACAGGGTAGCGCCCCAGAGCACTTGTCAGTGGTGGAGCACAACGCCAGGGGAGGTGACCGTAGACACAGTCGAAGAGGAAGTTCTTCAGATGCGACCTGAAGATGGGGAAGAAAGGGGGCGAGGTGGAGGGGTAGATAGAGGGAGAGTGTTCCAGGGGTGTAGTGGCTGAAAGTGCGGCCTCCGTTGGTGGAGTGGAGGGCATGAGAGACAAGCAGGAGACCGGAGCCAGCCAAGCGGAGGCAGCGGGAGGTGGAGTTGGAGAGGTGCGAGGCATGAAGGGATTTGAAAGCGAGTAAGAGAGTCTTGAAATCGCTCTGGGTGCTGGTGGAAGGCAGTGTCTGATTCCGGTTTCCATTCGGTTTCTCAGGCAAATTCGGGCTCCCTCCTGAGGAAACGGTGGAGGTGGTGAGCCACATCCTCACTAAGTGTCTCAGCCTGGAATTCACTGGCCTGATGACCATCGGAAGATATGGTTACGATCTCAGTCAAGGACCCAATCCAGACTTCCAGGTACAGTCTCCAAAGATTAGTTATAGTCAGGAGGACATCTCAAAGCGGACTCAAAAGGATTCACTGTAATAATAATATTCATACTAATCCTTGCATTTAATATAGCGCCTTATCACGTCTTGTAGACGTCTCAAAGAGTTTACCTCGCAGTAAGTAGGAACCTGGGAATAATCCCTTCCAAAAAATTAATTCATTAATTGGTAACTCAAGCCACGACAATTGGCTGCTGCGTTTCGCCCACAAAATGTATAGTCAATTCACTTAACAATCTTATCAAGTGAATTGCTTTGAGATATCTCAACGAAGTGATAAGGCGCTGGCTCAGGGATTAATAATGCAAGGATTATTATTGTTGGTGCTTTGTTTTGAAGCATGTTACTGCTCTGCGGAGGTGAGATCATCGGTAGGAACGCACGTGTAAGAGAAATATTTTCTTTCTTGATTAGAAGCTGTCTGGGCATCGGAAGGAAGTGTGTGCCAAGTTAGACCTTCCCCTGGACAAGGTGGAGCTGAGTATGGGGATGTCAACTGACTATGCGCATGCTGTGAGTATCTCTTAATTGTTCCATGTTTTCTCCCTCGTGGCTTCCAATCCCTTATTTCCTTGTGTAAATAAGTCTCGCGATTGCTTGACATGTTCCAGATGTACATTTGCAAGGGATGTACATCACTCTTGTATTTAAATCTTGTATTTTGTGGAGTCCTGTAGCTCAGTGGTTAGAGCGCTCGCCTTGCAAGCGAGAGGACCTGGGTTTGATTTCTGGCGTCGAGCAAGTTTTCTTCCTCCACACACACACGCGCGCGCCTGTTTACCGAGCAGGGCTGGAGACGATGGCGTAAGAGAAGTAGGTGAAGAGTGGGGGAAAAGGTGTGAGAGGATTGGAAAGACGAAGTTAAAATCCCGGGTGTTAAAAGGTCCTTTTCTGTTCGCCGGCAGATTGAAGTCGGAGCCACTAGCGTGCGGGTCGGGAGCATCATATTTGGCGAGAGGGAGTACCCCAATACACCCAAGTCAAGCCAGAGCACCCAGGGGGTGGAAGAAGCCAAGGAGAAAATGGAGGGGCTCACTGTGTCAGCAAACTGATTAGGACGTCTGATTGGGAGAGTCTTACTTACTTACCCCATCTCCCACCCCTCCAATTGTAGTTGATTCATGGCAACCACTTCAGAATTAATCAACGATTGATCCATGCGCGGCAAGTGCCCTCTTTACAATCTATTGCCTTGCACGTGAACTACTACTGTATGTAATGTGTGTTTCAGCCACGTGCATGCAGTTGTGGCTTTAATGTAATCACAATATGGGGGAAGCCAATCCACTTTTAGTTCCTATGGTCACGGAGTCATCTGTCGGATAGAACGTTAAATTGCAGGCCTTCACATCCCTGCTTACTTGTAAGCTCTCCGGGATGCTACCCCACGTGAAGGGCGCTAAGTTGTTGTTCAATCTGCAGTAGAAAATCAAGATCACTTTGAAGAAAACCTTCCTGGTTTCTCTTTCAACGTTACATTCAGGACATTGGAAGAGAACTTAGTTCTGTTAACCGTTGCTGCTTATAGAACCGCTCAACAGACCCTTAAAGAAAATTGGATTTGGTGCTTTGACCCGTGAGTGTTTTATTAACTTAACGAGTGTGCGGTAATCAGCCCCATGGAACTGTTTGATCGCTGTCTGGTGACTAGCCATTGTAGGAGTCGCTCAGCAAACTGCAGTCGCACCTCAAGGCAACCACTCTTTGATTTGATGACTTTGACCCACGTCAATGATGACCAATGAATGCCAAGTTGACACTTGTAAATCTGTGAACAAGTGTGTAAGACGCTTCTCTCCCCCACCCGTCCTCCCCGCACGTCAGCCCTGAGCTTGCATTCCTACTCTCAACGACGTGATAAGGCATTGTATGAAGCGCAAGGATTATTATTATTATTACTCGCAGAAAAGATGGGAAGAAATGGCATCAACCTGCTCGTGTGCTGGTTGGAGCCTCAGCACCGTTGGCTTCACAGCAGCAATGAACCAAGCAGAGAGCAGATAAGGCAAGGAAATGTTGTTGAACAGATACTAGTGGAGTGTTTGCGTCCATGTTTGGTGACTTAATCCACAGTCACTCCGCTTTACAGTATATCTTGTGAAGCACTTTGAGACGTCTCGAGGATGTGATAAGGTACTGTATCAAATGCAAGGATTATTATTATTAAACCCACATGTAGATGCCTGAGCGAAGTTCATGCTTGTTAATCTGCTAATTGAGTGTGCAAGACACAAGGCACGTCTCAAGATCCTCCTCTTCGATCGCGCCTTTGGCTACTCCCCCCACTGCCTTCCACCCTCCCTGATCCCAGCAACATCCTTGGTAATCCTAGCAACACCGCACATACCTGAGCTGCGGGATTCGATGGTGAATTTGCCCCCGGCCCCACTCCAAAGGAAATCCTGGTTGTGTTTTAATCGGTTAATAAAATGGGGTTTATTAATTGGCTTGTTTTTGTGTGAATGTGTAAAGAAAGGGACCTTACTATGCAGCTTACTATAACCTTGCTAACAGAGCCTACAAGGCAGCTCTCTTCTCCCCCCACCCACACTCACTGCTTTGGTGCCCTCCGCTCCACCACCAATGGCTGTGCCTTCAACCTCAACGCCCAGAAATAATAATAATAATAATAATTTGATATAGCACTTTTCACGTCGGGAGGACGTCCCAAAGCGCTTCACAGAACACACTGTAAAGTGAATTGACTGTATATTTGTGGGCGAACGCGGCAGCCAATTGCGCACAGCAATATCCCACAAACAGTCGTAGATTGAAAATGACCAATTTATTATTGTTTTTTTTTGGAGGATTATTATTAGGCTCTGTGTGGAGTAAGGAAACTTGCCCAAGGTTTCGCCCTCTGCCGGGGATTGAACTCAGGTCTCTCGTTTGCAAAGCGAGTGCTCTAACCACTGAGCTACAGGACTCCTCCACTGGAACTCTCTCCCTCAATCCCTCCGCCTTGCCCCCTCCCTCCCCCTTTTCCCCATCGCCTAAAGACCTTCCTTTTTGATGGTGCTTACAGTCACCTACCCCCTCCCTCTCCCCCTGGCTCCATCGCTGTGAAGTGCTCTGGGATGCTACCCTGCATGAACAGCACAATATAAATGCAAGCTGTTGTGACAGTGAGTTTGCAACCACTCGTGGCTCCTCTAACCCTCAAATGTCAGACTTTTCAGTAAAGTCTGTTGAAACTCATTTCCAAAAATGCGTACAATTACAGGCTTGCCTGGTAGCTTAATGTGACTGAGCACGTCTGTAATCTTTGGTGTTTTGGGGGAAAGGAGAGAGAGAGCGAGGAAGCAAGATTCCTGTTTGATCAAGCTCGGAATTTCAACAGCAAAATTATGAGTAATTCTCTCAAACTCCACATTTGCCTCCAGGAAAGTTTGTGTTGCGTTTTTCCAAAGATAAATACGGTGGGGAGGGGGGGAGAGAGGGTATTGCTTTGTCTGAGTCGCTGTGATACAGAGGAGATGTCAAACCCAGGAGCTACTGTTTAAATATTACCAGGGGTAATAATCCCTTCAAAAAAATAATTGTGTCACTCAATCCACGACCGTTTGTGGGACACTGCTGTGCGCAATTGGCTGCCCCGTTTCACCCACAAAACAGACAGTCACTACACTTTACAGTATATCCTGCAAAGCACTTTGAGATGTCTCGAATACGTGACCAGGCGCTGTATCAAACGCGAGGATTATTATTATAATATTGAAACTCCCCTTCGTGCCACTGGATGGCGGTGCAGATTCACAGTGATCTGAAGACCCCTCAACCTTCTCAGCTCAAGTTGGGGTTATCAGAAAGCCCTGCCTGTACGATCGAAACTCCCTCACCCCCAATAACATTTTGGTGAATCTACGCAGCCCCTTCTCTATCTCAAGTTTCCTTTCCTTCACAAGCCTCTGTTTGCCTAACAGTACGTAGGTGACCGTACGTGCATGAGTGTGTGAATTGGAATCCTCCGTATTGAGGCTTCAAACTCAGCTCCTGTTAACCCTGCAGCCAAACCCAACTAACGGGGAGGGAGGCTGGAGAAGCAGCGGGAAACCTGGCCAGACAGCGACATCAATGACAAGCTGTGTGGTTTTAGCTGGTTAGACTCCGGGCTCCCGCCAAGCCTTGGCTCTTGCCAACCTACGCCTAATACTCGCGCAGGTAAGCAGGAATGCGTCGCTCCAGGTAGAGAGAGAGCGCATTCCATTCCAACAATCTATCTCAGGGATTCCCACGTGGAGGGGGACGCAGGAAATTCTCAGTTGGGTTTGGAGACTCTTAAGCAACGGTGATGTGTTACCGTGTGTGTCAAGACCACAAAAAGATTGATTTTTCTCAGTGTTTCACCTCAGCAGCAAAATTGCCTTATTCCCCCTTGTGCTGAGAAGCAAATCCTTTGGGTGGAGTGTGGAATGTCACTTCCCTTTGATTCCCTCACTGTAATGCGACGGTTAAGCAGAAGGTTCGCAACAAATGTGTTGCAGATGTGTATTTTCATTTCAAATATTCCCTAATTGATGGGTTTACGTATTCGATCCCTACTTAATGGGAGCCATTTAAGAAATGCAAATAAGAAGCTTTTCGACACTAAATAGCGGGTTTCTGAGAAGCAAATATTTCACGTTTTCAAGAAATTTTAATTACTTCTCTCCTGTGACCGCATTTCCCCCCCTCCCCCCCCCCCCATACATACACACACAGACCCTGGCTAGCAAATCCTCCTGATAAATTGTTTGTTGGCTTCATAGATGTTTGTGGGATATTGCTTTGGGCAAATTGGCTGCTGCGTTGGCCTACAAACACTCAGTTACTACACTTGCTGGTAAATCCCCTGTGAACCACTTTCCGATTTTTCTTACTCGTGAGTTGTTACGGTCTGGAACGCACGACCTGAAAGGGTGTGTGGGAACAGCTTCCGATAATAGCTTTCAAGAGGGAATTAGATAGGTACTTGAAGAGGAAAAAAAAATTGCCAGGACATGGGGACAGAGTGAGGGAGGGCGTGGGACTGATTGGGGTAAGAGAGAGAGAGTGGGACTAGTTGGTAGCTCTCCCAACGAGATGGGCCGAATGGCCTCCCAGTAAGATTCTACGATTCTATGTCAAATGCAAAGGTTCATTTTTATTTCATTTTTTTTCCCAATCGGTTGGAATCGGAGAAGCATCGGTCAGCAGCTGGCGGTGGGCCCCACTCCGTCCAGTAGGACCAGAGCCGTTTTAAGGGCGTTTAATCTGAGGGGAAAAGTTTGGAAAAGTTCAGAGCTGAACAAATAAAGTGACTGATTGATTGGGAACGGAAATTCTCTGCTTCGCAGTGCAAATACCAAGCGCTGTTTACAGCCTCAGCACAAGGCAAACCATCCCTCCTGATCACTGTTAGGATGGACTGACAAACAGCCCTCCCCATCCCATCAGGGCTGCCTGTCAACAACAACAACAACATTACATTTGTAGAGCGCCTTTCACGTCGGGAGGACGTCCCGAGGCGCTGTATCGGAGGGTATCATAGCCCTCTCTCTCTTCCTCTCACTCACACTCTCACTCTCTGTCTCTCTCACTCTCTCTGTCTCTCTCACACACTCTCTGTCTCTCTCACACTCACACACACTCACTCTGTCTCTCTCACACTCTCCCTTACTCACACTCACTCTCTCACACACACACACACACACACTCTCACTCTGTGTCTCTCACTCTCAGTCTCTCTCACACACACTCTCTCTCTGTCTCACTCACACACACTCTCAGTCAGCACTGGGGGCTGATACACACATACACTCTTCTCTCCCTCCCTCCAGTTTAATGCAGCTGAGGTAATAGCCCTGGGCTCGGATCTCTCCCAATTGCATTTGTGGCAAAAAAAAAGTTTTGATCGTTTCAATCTGCTGCAGAACCTGATCACAGTATAGCACGCAGGGCTCAGGCTGGTGGGACTGTCTGGTCCTAAAGCCCTCTGTCCTAACTTCCCTGTGCCTTGAAATTTGGATCCTGTAGCTCAGTGGTTAGAGCCAGCGTCTCGCAAGACATTCCGGACCCTAACACCTCTCGAGAGGACCTGAGTTCGATTCCGAGGCAGGACCGGACAAAGCGAAACCTTAAGAAGTTTCCTTACTCCACACACACACACACACACACCACACACATGCCTTCATCCAGCAGTAACAACAACAACAAAATTACATTTGTATAGCGCCTTTCATGTTGGGAGGACGTCCCAAGGCGCTGAGTAAGTAGGAACCCGGTTGTTAGTCGATTGGTGGATCGCTTTCGCGGGGGTGATAATCCCTTCAAAAAATAATAATGAGGTTGCTTTATAAATGGAATCTTGTTGTTGTTGTTGTTAATCCACGACTGTTTGTGGGACGCTGCTGTGCTGCCGTGTTTCGCTCATAAAACGTACACTTTATGGTATAATCCTGTGAATCACTTTGAGACATCAAATGCAAGGGTTATTATTATTGTTTTTATTATTATTGATTGGCTGTGGGTGAAACGTGGCAGCAAGCTCGATTTGTGCACAGCAATGTCCCACCAACAGCCACGGAGGGAGTGACCCGTTTCATTTGCCGCTCTTCACCCACAAAACGTACAGTGACCACACTTTGCAGTACATTCTGTGACGCGCTTTTGAGCACTCCGAGACCCTGCCAGTCGGTGTGAAGGGGAGGGCACTATATGAATGCAGGTTGTTATTGTTGTTGTTGTTCTAGCATCATTGGATCTTTTAACACCCCCAGAAAAAGCAGACACAGAATAGAGGGCACTGTGGTTGTGGTTGTTGTTGGGACCCTCAGCCTAAAAATACACAAAATCCATGATCCAACATTGATTATTCTGCTGGATTTTCACCCCAAACATGTCCCCCCTTTTCTCTCAACGGCCTTTGGTGTGCTTGAGGGGGAGGGAGAGGGAACAGTCTGAGAGGAAGTGTTCCAGTGTTTCAGTTCTCTGATTGTTCCTTGTGTCTGAGGGAGTTTAAATGAATGGGTGAAGCAGGTGTCAGACTGGCTCTGTCGGAGGTAGCTCTCTCACCCCTGAGTCTGAAGGTTGAGGGTTCAAGCCCCCGTGTCGGGTTTTGAGCTCAGTCTCGCTGACACTCCAATGCAGTCATTGTCTGAGTTACCACCTTCAGCTGAGACGTTAAACTGTGGGCTTTCTTGTTTCATTCATCTCGTTAGTTTCGCCCCCAAAACACACAGTCAATTCACTTCACAGTGTATCCCGTGAAGCGGTTTGAGACATCTCGAGGACGTGATAAGGCGCTGTATCAAATGCCGGGATTATTATTATCTTCTGGTGAAATAACCCCCAAAATCTCGCTGGGAGGGGATGATGGATGGCCTTGAGCTTTTGCAGAAACGATGCAAAGAGTGTGAGGGGGGGGGGGGGGGGGGGGGAGGATAGTCTGACATGGCTTTAGGACCCAGAGAGGAAGTTGGGCTTTCCTCCCCCTATTTGGAGGTTGAGTCGGAAAGCGAAGTCAGTCTGTGTTGGTGACAAATCGGGTTGGATCGCTTGGTTCGGTGTGGATGCGTTTTACCCCCCGACTGCCTGGGTCTGGGGCAGAGAGACTTGGCTTGTGCTTAGAAGGGGGAGCTCTCCTTGGCCTGGGACTTGGGGAGGGGGTTTGCAACGTTACCTTACTCTGGGAGAAGGAAAAGTGGGACATCCATGGAGAACAAACAGCTGAGGACACATCCACATCCATCTGACTTGCGAGTTGCGGGTTTGGTTCGTGTCGCTCAGGATTGATTCTGGGACAGTTCAGACAGACAGACAGACAGACAGACATCATGTCAAAGGAGGAGAGCGTCAGTGATGGTCGCAGTTTGGGTGGATCCAGCTGTTTCCAAGTGTACTTTTCATGGTGCTGTACTTTGCTGTAAAGTCATTTGGATGTAACAGGCGACGTCGATGGGAGGAATAAAGCAACGTATAAAGGAAGCAGTAAATATATATATATATTATATATATGTATGTGCAGAGCTCTGTGACTCTCTGTCTCTCTCTGTGTGACTTAGTTTAGCAACGGACTACAGGTACCCACACACACAGACAGATACACAGACAGACACACACAGACAGACACAGACAGACAGATACACTGACAGACACACAGACACACACAGAGACAGACAGACACACACACACAGACAGACACACAGACAGACACACACAGACAGACAGACAGATAAGCAGCAAAACTTGTTTTACTTAGTTCGAGTATTTACTGACTTTCTTATATAAAAAATATATAACATCTATCAAAACCTAACCAGGAAGAAAAATAATTAATCCCCTTGGTGGTTGCTTATTTTAGGGCTGGTGTGGGGGTGGGGGGGGGGGGGTGGGAGGGAGATTTAAGAAAAAAACTCCCCCCCAAAAGTTTTGGCATAAGTTTGACGTTAGAAAGTTTCGTGAGTTAGTTTTAACGACTTATGAATTGTCAATAGGGGTAAAGTGGTTGGGGGTGTGGGGGTGAGGGGTACAAAACCCCTTTGCACATCAGAAAAAGGGAGAGGTATCGAGAAAAAGAGAGTGTGAGAGAGAGTGGGAGAATGTGGCAATTACTGCTCCTCCTGCAGGGATTCTAATAACTTTTTAAAACAAATATATATATAATATATATATATGTGGTGACATTTAATGATGTTCTGTGATCAGGTAAAGTGGTCTGAGCTGAACTGATGGGAAGGCAATAGAGATTTGCCATTTAACTTATTTGACCAACACCCACACAGACAAACACACACACACAGACACACACACACACACAGACACACCCACACAGACAGACAGACACACAAACACAGACAGACAGACACACAGACACACACACACAGACAGACAGACACACAAACACAGACAGATAGACAGACAGACAGACAGACAGACACACACACACACACACACAGACACACACACACAGACAGACACACACAGACAGACACACACACACAGACAGACAGACAGACACAGGCACAGACCCACACACACCCACACAGACAAACACACACACAGACACCCACACACAGACAGACACACACACCCACACACAGACAGACACACACACACAGACACCCACACACAGACAGACACACACACCCACACACAGACAGACACCCACACACAGACAGACACACACAGACAGACAGACACCCACAGACAGACACCCACACACAGACACCCACACACCATGATCACAGGAGCAGTCGGGATGGCGTTGCTGCTGATGGTCTGTCAGACTGACGGCTGCTCTGAGCTGTTCACCAACAGCTGTACGTGTATCGACGATCGATCGAAAGGACCTTCAGTCCACACCGTTCGTAAGAAAGTCATCTGCAGCAAAGAAAACCTGTCGGACCCCCCCGACCCCCGGGTCCTCCCCAACAGGACAGTCCACCTGTAAGTGATTTCATTTCAATTTCCCTCTCACTCCCCCCCCCACTCCCCCCTCCCCACTCCCCCCTCCCCACTCCCCCCCAACCTCACTCCCCCCCACACCCCCCTCCCCACTCCCCCCCCAACCTTACTCCCCCCCACACCCCCTCCCCACTCCCCCCCAACCTCACTCCCCCCACTCTCCCACTCCCCCAACCTCACTCCCCCCCACACCCCCCTCCCACTCCCCCCAACCTCACTCCCCCCCACTCCCCCCCACCCCCCCCCTCCCCACTCCCCCCAACCTCACTCCCCCCACTCTCCCCCACACCCCCCTCCCCACTCCCCCCCAACCTCACTCCCCCCCACTCTCCCCCACTCCCCCCTCCCCACTCCCCCCCACCCCATCCCCCCCACTCCCCCCCTCCCCACTTCCCCCACCCCATCCCCCCCACTCCCCACTCCCCCCCACTCCCCACTCCCCCCCTCCCCACTCCCCCCACCCCCCCAATCCCCCCCAACCTCACTCCCCCAACCCCACCCACCCACCCCACTCCCCCCCCACTCCCCCCCCAACCCCATCACCCCATTCCCCCCCACTCCCCCCCCAACCCCATCACCCCACTCCCCCCCCACTCCCCCCCAACCTCACTCCCCCCCAACCCCATCCCCCACTCCCACCCCCCCACTCCCACCCCCCCAACCCCACCGTCCCCCCCACTCCCCCCAACCTCACTCCCCTCAACCCCATCCCCCACTCCCACCCCCCCACTCCCCCCTCCCCACTCCCCCCACCCCCCCAATCCCCCCCAACCTCACTCCCCCAACCCCATCCCCCCCACTCCCACCCACCCACCCCACTCCCCCCCCAACCCCATCACCCCACTCCCCCCCACTCCCCGCCCAACCCCATCACCCCACTCCCCCCCACTCCCCCCCAACCCCATCACCCCACTCCCCCCCACTCCCCCCAACCTCACTCCCCCCCAACCCCATCCCCCACTCCCACCCCCCCAACCCCACCGTCCCCCCCCCACTCCCCCCCCCCACTCCCCCACAAACAATAATCACCCTGTATTGCTGTTCCCTTTCCTTCACCTCTCGTCCTCTGCCCTCCTCACTTTCCAAATCATGTATACACCTACATACATGCCCCCCCCACCCCACCCCCCCCCCCCCCTCTGTCCCTCTGTATTGTGGCAGCACTCACTCAGCAGGTCAGGCAGCATCTATGGAGAGAGAGGAAAGCCATTTAAGGTTTTGGGTCGATGACCTTTTCGACAGGACTTAAACACCCCGAGACCCTGTCTGACTGCTATATAAATAATAATAATAGTCCTTGCATTTGATATAGCACCTTATTAAGGTGTTGAAACAACACCAACAACTTGCACTTATACGGTGCCCTTCACCCGAGTTAGCGACTCGGAGCACTGATAAACACAAGTCGCCGCTGTATTGTTGAGTTCTGATCAAAGGTCATCGGCCTGAAACGTGAACTCACTTCCGTCTCTCCATCGATGCTGCCTGACCTGCCCGGTGTTCCCAGCGACGTCTGTTTTTATTTCAGATTCCCAGCGTCTGCAGCAGTTGGCCTTTTCTCTCTCTTTCTCGTTCTCTTCTGTTTGTATTTAAACCAACCGACGTTTGTTTTAATAATAATAATAATCCCGGCATTTGTCCCCGCGCCTCATCGCGTCTTCGAGACATTTCAAAGCGCTTCGCAGGATACACTGTAAAGTGTAGTGACTGTGTATTTTGTGGGCAAAACACGGTAGCCATTTGTGCACAGCAGTGTCCCCCACAACAGCCGTGGGTTGTGCGACCACATTATTTTTATTTACGGTGCCATTTAGTGGGGGGGGAAGGTGGATGTCAGCGTTTGTTACAGTGCAGAAAATGACTTCACCTCAATCCTTTTGTAACAAAAGAGAATTGTATTATTTGGTTGCTGTTGCCATCGGAAAATAATCAGCCGAGTGTTGGGGAAGAAATAAACCACTTAACGCACTAGTTAGCAGTAAGAGCTCAGCAAACCGCCTCAGGAGCTCAAAAGCAGACAGAATTCCAAACCCCTTACTAATTTGGACGCTTTCTTTGCCCTTCCTGATTACCCGTAATTGTTGTGTGTATGAAATTGCGCTGCTTTTCTGAGCTAAATCGTGAAGTATTTTCTCATGGTTTGGCCTGTTCCCCACCACAATGTAATTTTTTTCCCTTGCCCACATAAATACACAGTCACTACACTTTAGTCAATAGTCCCGTGAAGCCCTCCGAGACGTCGCGACCAACGTGATAAGGCACCACATCAAATGCAAGGATTATTTTTATTAGCGCAATCTGGGTTTAGTCTCTTCTGGGTTTAACTCACTCCCCAGAGATCTGTTATTCTATAATGTGAATCACTCACACCTCTGGGTTAGATTCCAGTCTATAACCCACACCCCAGGATGTGCTGTTGACTCTCCTCACCTGTCTTCAGATCGAGATCACATCTGAAGACCTTCATCTTTGACTGTGTCACTTCCCCGACTCGGTGTTTAGCTCTGTCACTACTGTTGTTATTCTATCTAATAATAATAATAATAAGGTTTGCAGTTATTATTAATAATATAAGATTATTACTACTTGATATAGCGCCTTATTGCGTCTTCGAGACATCTTAAAGCGCTTCACTGAATATACTGTAAAGTGTAGTGGCTGTGTGTTTTGTGAGCGAAACGAGGCAGCCAATTGCACTCACAGAGGTGTGAGTGATTCAAGTGACCTTGAAGTAATAATTATTTACTTCAACCAAATAATTATTATTTATTTTGTCCCCTAATATTACAATATGTTATAAAATCTAATTTTATAACACATTACATTCACAAAAGTTATATTATAAAATTATAAGACTATAACATCTCTTCCCCACCCCCCGCCCGCCCTTGCAAATCCCGAGATAAGATTTCAGCCCTTGACTCACTCCCTTGTCATTTAAAGAGCCTCAAATCCACCTTGATTTCCAGCTAGTAAACCGACTGATCTCTACATTTTGGGCGGCAAAGTAGGTGGGTAGCCTGAAAGAAAAGAAAAAGCGTGGCTGCCTCTCTGTGTGTGTGATTTTTTTTTAAAAGCCAGTGGGTGAGATCCCTGCATAATTGAGAGAACGAGCGAGAGAGAGAGAGAGAGACAGGGTCAAAGCCAAATCGTCATGTTATCAGAAGGAACTCTGTTGGCCCTAATAATGCCTTCTCTCCCAGTCTTGAGCGCCCCTTAACAGAATTCCACAGTCAGACGTCCATTGCAGAGCTTGGCTGCTGATGGAAGGAATCAAGCTGCTTCTTGAATGAGTCCAGTGTCCTGGCCTTGACGCCTAAAGACCTTCCTTTTTTAATTATGCTTATGCTCACCTCCCACGCCCACCCCCACTCCCTCCCTCCCCAACCCCCCAACCCTGGCTCGCGGTCAGACTCCGCCACTGTCAAGCGCTCCAGGACACTACCCAACGTGAAAGGGCGCTGTGTAAATGCAAGTTGTTGTTGTGTTGTTGACAAGTTCTCTTGTTGCTAATTCCCGCTCTGTGCAATTAACCCAGTGAGATTTCTGATGAGAGGTGACTGAAACGTTAAATCATTTTCCTCTCTCCATGGATGCTGCCTGACCTGCTGTGTGCTCCCAGCGACATCTGTGTTTCTACTAGTAAGATTTCTTTGTGCGCGTGTGTGTGGTGGGGGTGGGGGGAGAGGTGTGGGGGGGTGGTGGGGGCTGGAAGAGAGAGTTATAACATTAAATCTGTGCCCACATGCAACAAACAGGGAGAGAGGCTTGGCGTGAGTTTCAGAGTGAAATGAGCATGCCGGCTCTCGAGCGAATGGTTGCACAAAGGGCGTTGCTTTAATCCACAACAAAAGAGCAGGCAGGTTCCAACCCAGACCAGACCAGAGCAAAGGGGCCAGGCCTTGTGTCGTCTTAATTCCACAGCTCAAACTTCGGGCTGTAAATCAACAGGAGCCGTTTGATCTGTTTAATCCCCCGTTTGTGCGGGTAAGAGGAGTGAAATTGGTTTGCTGTGGAGAATTAGCTCAGATGTCCATCCCTGTGTAAACAACAGCTGAATACTCCATTCACGTCGAGGCTGTGACACTGTATTAACACTGAGCGACGCAAGCCATGCTCTTGTGGCCCCGTGTTTCTGCCTGAGCAGATTCACTTTCATTGACAGCAAGGACGGAGGAGGGAGAGAGACTGAGATTGGATTCATTCTGATTCCATTCCACTCCCCAGAAAGTACTTCTACTAATAATAATCCTTGTGTTTGATACACCACATCATCACGTTGTCGAGGCACCTCAAAGAGCTTTGCAGGATAAACTGTAAAGGCGTCCCAGGGCGCTGGACAATCAGGGGGTGTTTGGACCCGAACTGGGTGTTAGGGTCAGGAGGGGTGGAGGGCAGGGGGTAGGGGTGCGGGTGGGAGGGTGGGAGAAGGCACAGTCGACTGGGGCAGGAAATGTGATGGTGTCCCTGACTTTGGGGGATGGTTGAGTTGGCCATCCTGTCCATCCGAACTAATCTTCCTGCCCTAACCAAAACATAACCTTGTTTAGCTTCGGAACAATTATCCCGACTTGGCTGAAATAACACTGCTTGACACGGAGCTCAGGCTGCACATCCCTGGGAATAGTCGGGAAAAGGGGAAAAGGCCCCGAGAGGAAAGTCAAACAAATAGACTGCGCTGTGGGGGGGGGGGGGGGTGAGGGGAGGGGAGGGAGGGGCTGGTCAACAGGAAATAGGTCAAAGTGCGAGCAGGAAGCATTCATTCTATGAGCGGATGGCCATGTTGACCCTCTCAAGTGTTCACTCTGCTCCCATGACCCCTTTTCCCCCCTTTCCATCCATACGTGTTGGTGTCAACTTGGCTTTGTCGGTCACATTCGCGTCTCTTTGAGTCAAAACATTGTGGAGTCCCTGTAGCTCAGTGGTCAGAGCACTCCCCACCGCCCCCCACAGTCCACCCACCAACACCGCCCACACCTCCA